CTGAAATTATGATGTTTTCAGCATCACCAGCAAGATGGCGCAATAAGCACACGTCGCCACACTGCGCGACGGCACGCGCCCTAATCTCCCACACGTACTTTTCTTTGCTTAGAGAAGTGGAGTGCTCTTATCTCGCGGTGGGGAGGATCGCACGCCTTGGCTGGCCTCGGGCTTTACCTGGAACTATTCTGTCGTAGTTAGCCGGTGCCCAGAGGTCCCTGCCGTCTGCTGTCTCTGTTTGCGAAAAGTGCGCGCTTTTAAGGCACAGTGATATAATAAATAGACGCCTATTCACGTGCATATATACCTGTGAGTACGTTTCCTGCGTCATTTTTGCGTGAGAAAGAAATGGCACATTTCAATCTGCTTTCCTTTCAGCGCGTGACCTTCCAATTTGTTGCTAACACGTTCGTTGCCTTGCCTTTGCGGCCAAGCTGTAAATTTTTTACGCAGCTTTGTCCTCTGCCACTGTGCCCCTCATGAACTTCTCAGTGATTGCAGCCGTGTATTTTTATCAGACCTGTTTCTATCACTCCTATCTCAATGCATTATAATTCACAGCACCACTACTGCATATCACCCAACCACAGATGGATTAACGGAACAATTTAACCGAACACTTGGTGACATGTTGTAGACCTACGTTGCGTCAGACCACGGCAATTAGGATCTTGTTCTTCCATTTGTCACATTTGCGTACAACACCACCTTCCAAACCACCATCCTATTATCACCACTATTTCTCTATACGGTCGTGAACCCTCTAGCACCATTGATGCGTTTTTACCATACCCACCGAATGCTGAAGACTGCCAGCCTGTGTCTGCAGTGAATCAGCAGGTCGAGAAAAGCCGGCAACTGGCCCGTTATTTCTCCTTACAATGTCGCCAAAAACAGCGTAACGTCTCCCACATTCCTCCCGACCTTTTCACCATCGACTCTCTCGTGTGGCTATAGGTCTCGCAAGTTGCTGCTCACGGCCTTTCTTGTAACCTTCTTTTGCAGTACCACGGACCCTATCACGTGGTTGCGGAGACTTCTCGTGTTAATTATGTGGTTGAAATCTTTACGTCATCTTCCGATCTTCGTCGTCGGGTGCGATAAACAGTCTACTATAACCCTATCAAGCCGCAGTATGCTCCTCTGACTTCTCTTTTGGTTGCCAGGATAGCTACCTCATGATACCGGGGGTGATTATGAGGAAGAAGATAGACACGTGTAGAAGCTCAATGCCTGCTGTTGCTGCTATCGTTTCGGTCACTGCGTACCCTATAAACCCCTGTAACAGTTGTTTTTACCCGGTTTGACCTCTTTCTTTTTCATCATGCAGGCCGTTACAATGAGTCCGGATTTCTTGTAGGAGTTCCACAAGGCTGTCTGAAACTTGAAAATGTTTGTACTCATGCGGACTCATGGACGCATGGATTCAAGCGACCTGCTACTCTCGCGGCTTTGAGGATTACTTTGAACACATTTTATGTCGTTGCCCATCTTATAAGAGTGAACAACGTGTTTTTGGATTGAAACTCAGTCAACCTAATTCAAGACCACTGTCCGAAAAGAAAGTCAGGAGGTCTTTTCGCATGGTTTCTGACGTGTACAAGGCCGAGAAAGCCACTGAGCTACTTGAAGGCGACTTGACTTCCCGAGCATCCGTGAAATACCAGTGCGAGTTTGCTGCTGTGTGTGCTCTCGCTAACTGCATGTTCATTTCATTTTCTTTGTTTTTGAATTCTTTTTTATATTCTTCTTCTTTGCCCCACCCGACATATAGCGTAGCCAGCCAGGCTTATTTTGGTGAACATGTCTGCCTTTCTTTTTCGTTCTATATTTCAGGCCCTTCCCTGTGAACAGTCGTTACTGAACCTGCGTGCTGTGTAAAGAACGTAAACGAAATGATCACGCAATATTACGTCATGAGGCAACATGGTCAGAATCGCCACTTTGTCTGCGCTTGTTTCAATCTTCCAGTTTGCTGGTAGCTTCTTGAGCACTGCGACGTAATCACTAACCGCTTCGTCGTGGCCTTAGTGACATCATAGGAAAGGTTTTTTGCAGAATACCTCACACGGCAGGGAATCGGAGTTAGCCAGGAGCATCTCGACTATGTCCTCGTAGCTGACTCAGTTGAGGTGCTTGTGTTGAACGAGGGCTCAGGTAATGTCCTAAGTTTGTTCCCCGCACATTGTTAGTACACGAGCACGTTTTTTTCGATGCGTCCTTGATATTGTTAGGCTCGAATAAGAACATTATGCTCCAATATTAAGATTTTCTGGAGTGAGGGCTCCTGCTGAAATCAGGCCACCCACGAAAGTCAGGCGCTGCCATGTCGTTTTCTTGATGTTAGTGGAGTGCTGATGAGTATTCATCATAACCAATCGTTACCCCTGAACAGCTGCTAGTGGCTGCCGACAATTTATTCAACTCAAGAAAACATGAACAAGTTGGCAGGCGTAGCTCAGGTGGTGGAGCTACTACTAGCAAGCGTTAAGGGAGGCTCGCGCTCGCCCCACAGCGCGAGCCCACAGCGCGAGCCTCCCATTGCACGAGCCTCCTATTGCCCGAGCCTCCCTCACAGTTTGTTCACGCTTGCCCTTCATTTTTTCTGTATTGTGAGACGACTGGTCAGTAAATGAGGGTGATAGATACGCCGAAGTAGAGAAAAAACCTCTGCAGCGAAATGAGAGAGGAATGCTGTTATAATGAACCAAAAAGCGTGTTGCGGACACAATACGTACGAGGTGATTCGAGGTCTGCGGACAGGTTTAATGGTTACAGAGGAACATTTAGGAAGACAGTGTAGTTCATTAGGTCAGAGGCGCAATCAGCAATCGATGTGAATTGAATCACTGTGAGGCGCCTGGCATTGGGTGCTCACAAGAGGACAACATATGAAGCTGGAAAGGGCGGTATGTGGCGGATAAGTTATGAAGCGAGGACAACTTAGTACGATATGAGGTTCGGAAGCGGCTAAGAAGCATGAAAATATTACATGTTTAAAGAAAGTGTTCACTTATTTACATAAAAGCACAGACCCGAAGTCGAGAATAATAAGCTAGGGGGCCGGACAATGATTGCACGGCTGGTAGTGTACGCGATATGGCAATAAAGACCATGAAGCAAAAAGTCGGCAAGAATTTACCGGAACGCGGCGATGGAGAAACGACTGGGGCTGATTTCCTACCGCAGGTTTAAAAAAATAAGGAAGGGGCATTTTCTTATATTACAAAAGGAAGTGCTTTTCTTGTAGCGAGGTTGGGTCAGATCGCCATAAAACACAAAGTTATAAAGTGAGATGAAGTGAACATGAATGATAATTATCATGCCGTAGGGAAGCTAATAAACAGCAGAGAAAGTTCTGAATCATTGTAGAGATACCAACCCCGGTGTACGTTTGGACACAAGCCTTTGGTTTTAGGCCCAACAGTGGAAAGGCGAACCTGCCACAGTAAGAGTGTGGGCGACACCACAGAAACACGCACATAAAAACAAGGTCGTACACACAAACACCAGCATTTGTGTTGGTGTACCACCTTCTTCTTGTCTACGTGTTCTTGTGCTTTCGCTGACACCCTGTCTCTGAAAGTCATGACGCACTAGCTGGGCCAACATCTAGCGCTAATACACGGTTAGACTCTTGGCGGTGAAAACTAGAGAGATGGTACAAAAATGCGTGGTTGAAAAAATAAAGAGAACCTCAGTAGAAAAACTTTCAAATAGTGCATTTTAATAAGGTAAGAGTTATTTTTTTTAACTAGATAATCAAGCAATTACGCCAATTTAAGACAAAGTTTTTGTTTTAGTTTTTCGAGACTGGTGGCACACTTCCTAAAACCCGATGATGAAGGAGACACTCAAAGCACTCATTCCTTTTGTAATAGAGGGATAAGACTGCTGTGGTAGAGTAATGGCAGCGGTCTCACAATATAATGTCCTGAAATCAATGTATAAAATTTCGGTCGCCTAAATAAGACGTTACTATTTTCAGAGGCGGTGGAATGAGTCTCCTGCGTATTGGGTTAATATATTCTTCAGCAACAATGCGGTGTTGTGGACAGCTTCAAAAGTTGTAATGTGAGAAGAGAAGCAGATTGGGCGAGTTGGTGGGTTTCCATGATGAAACTAGAAAACAGAGCTGAGACGCAGGACGAATGAAGAAAATGAACCTGCACTGCGTTTATAAAAAAAAACATGTACGTTCCTTAGAGGTGACTGCGCATGCTCATTGTTAAAAGTGATGTCAAGGATTACATACCTACCAAACCCTCACTCAGCTTCATGTGAGCTCTATGATCACCCCTGTTTAACAAGCCATATAGCTTTAGTGATTGTGCCAGAGAATGTTGGCCAACCAAATCACTCGCTTTTCAAATTACAGACAAAGCTTCAACTACTTTTGTTGTGTAGACCTCGCTACGGACAAATTAGATTTTTGTGTGTACAAAGAACGACATACACTCACACTGAAAGCAATGCTTGAACAAATTTGTTGATTTCTTTTTTAATGGATCCTTGTGCTCCAAAAGCTCACGTCAGCACACCATGGTTTCTCAATAAACCAGTTGCAAGTTCAGCGTCGTATGTGCCACTTTCTTCATTCGACGTGTGCATAAGCGCTGCTTTATATTTTTATTATGAAAGTGTACAAAACGAACCCCCCAACTCACTCGCGTATTCATGCCTGCGATGCCACTACCGGATCCATAGCAATGGCATTGATCTGACGGTTGTCGAGTGTAAAAAGAAATATGGCATTCGGCTATTTTTCCACCATTTGTATCAGAAAGAGGTCCCAGTAATGAATAAACTGTATGTTATTAACTGCGAGAGAAAAAACGAGCAGAGCAAAGAAAAATTACTTTCAACCCTGCTGAAGCCACTGTTTTCCTCATAGGTTCATCTTGAAACAATTTTTCGTCAACGCATTTGACTTTGTTTAGAATATCAATTGCGGCATTTACCTTCATTCATGCACGCTCTGCCTATCTTTCTGTTCACAGCCAGAATACTTCGACATACCCGAATCAGAGCAGCCCCCAGGATCCAGCATGATTGCGCGACTTCAGCTTAAAGATCCAAATTCAGAGTGAGTGTTTACATTATGTATAAATTATGATTTTCAATGCCGACAAAGAAAAGCTCTCTTTCGCAATACCATGTTCGCACAAACGCGTTTAGAGTAGATTTTATATTGCCTAAAATGCACGCTTTTTTGCAATTGAAGAGAGATAACAAGATTTTACATTTGAAACTTAAAATAAATGCTTGCAGACGACATGCTGGCAAAGCACTGAGATGCACAGAGATGTGAAAACAACTCAAATTGCACATATCAACTTTAAGAGCACGCGGCAATTGGAAAGATGAAAAACTAATCTGCTCAAACACACGCACTCATACGAGTGTACGCTTCGATCATCATGACAGTTCTGTCAGATATACATCAAGGACTTGCTGAGGACTGAGCTGCGACTAATTACCAAAGCCTGCTTCAGGCACTACTGAGAAATGTTACTTTCCACTTTCTTTTGTCGGCATAAAACGAGGCATTCAAGAATTGCGGGCGTATAATCCGAATAGTAAAAACACCACTGAACATCAGACAGGAATTCAGCGGTTTCAATTTTTCATATCCTTTTTATACTTATAATCGCGACGGCCTATCTGTTCACGTAGTTGTTACCAAAGCTTAAAGACCACCTCGCCAGCGCGGAACGCGCATCACTGTCACAGCGAAAGCAGCAAGAGCGGTTTTTCAGAGCTTTTCCTAAACAATTGTTGGGTAGCTGCTAGAAGCACACTTGCATGGTACTAACTACGCCATAAATCATTGTAGAATTTGCGTGGTACCAGGCAATATTTAAGATAATATTCGTCATTTTTCGGAGAAGCGTAGTATCCACTTCATACCTCCAAGAAATTTTGTGCTATTCGTTTATGCTCTGGCTGACGAAAACGATGATCTGCCTGAAAAAATTCTAGTGAGTTAGAGCACTCGATGACACGCGAATTACGCAATTTGAATTCTGTGACACCTGTCTCTTGGTGTGCTGGTAAAAATGCTTCATTACACATAATAACGTGATTACTTTCCCGATCTTACGTCTGCCTACGACCAGCCTGCAATGGAATTTTAAGCAGTGGCATAGCTTAGTGGTGTTGCGACTCCAGGTCCCATGGGTCTCCTTAAGGTACCGGGTTCGCGTCCTAGGACTCATCGTCCAACAAGTAAGATAAGGCGCTCGTAAGAACAACCTATTTACATGGTTAGTAACTAGTATTTGAATAGAGGTGATCAAGTGATCACGGAGTACTAAAAAAGTCGAACTGAACAGGAGAGCTGAAAATATACAAAAGTTTTCCGCTTATATAGCGCCGCCTTGCCAACCTTGGGCGCATTGTCCACGACTTCAGCCAATACGATGCTCGAGGGTCTAGGGGCTCCACCCATGAAGGCGGAGAAAGACACTTCACAATGCACGTGGACAGGGCACAATCTACACAATGCCTAAATATGTCAGAAACGCACTACACAAAGGTTTTGCACACGTCACCAAGAATTTGTGCACGTCCGTTGGTCTTAAATGACCTTGGTTTCCAAGAACTGTTCTGGCAGTTTGAGAGAGATTCAAAAGACCGGCTCCCGGTACACGTGCCAAGCTTACCTGACTGAATGGGACAATGTAGTGGCCCGACAGCTTATCGCCCAACATGTCACTCCATTTAGCTAATCCTGTGGAGAGAGAGGAAAAGAATAGTGGTCGACTAATGAGCCTCGAAATCGAGGTGCTGAGGCGTGCTCCCGCAAGGGCAGGAGAAGATAGGGCCGTTTCTCTTCCCTTCAACCACACTGTAGCGAGAGAGAAAGACGGGATGGCGGCCAACGTGGTCGTGTCGTTCTCTCGCCACGTTATTCCACGCCTGAAGCGGAGCCGCGTGGCTTTCCACGTCCGACACACCAAGTGCGCTAGCTTGTTTTAATCCTCGCGCAGCTCGAGCTAGCATCAGCTGCGCAACAGGCGCGGCGCAGTGATTGAGAAATTATGATGGTGATGACGGCTCCCCCCTTAGCGCTTTGCGCGATTTGAAGGCATATGAAAAAAAAAAGAGAGCGACAAGTGCTATATACATGAACGACAATCCATAAAGTGTTCATTTGGCAAGTCTAGGTTGTCAACGTTTATGGGCCATCGGTAAGCAGTGTGTCTCCGGTGGGCGACTCTGGGAGAAGCGCAAGGGACGAAGAATGAAGTGCCGGGTTGCTGTGGTCGCCGACAAGCGGGTCTCACGATGACCTGGTCGGACAGGCCGAGTGTGGACCGTGTGTCGCGAGGTCATGCTGCTAACGTCAGCAGAGAGGCGGCAGTGCGGGTTTTGACGTTGGGGTCGACGCAACACCGACCTCAAAGTCGAGCGGCGTCTGACGTGCCGGTATAGATAGACGTGCCGACGCACGCAGGAACGTGTCCTAACAATGCCGCCAAGTGTACGGTGGGTAGTCGGGTACACGACTAGTGGTGGGACATTGCGTCGGATAGGCCTTGTAGGCGCTTGCGCCGTCTTCAGGGCTGTGACTGCAACTCGTGGCTGCGTAGCAGGGCGGCTCAAATGTTGCCGCAATGTGTGACGCCAAGCACGTTGTCGTCGCCGACGTAGGGTAATGGGTGGTAGACACGTATGAGGTATGAGCGTCGTCGCGGTTGTGACACACGAGCTGGCGTTGTGGACACACGTCTGGTTGTTGCCGTCCGGAGGTAAAGGCTCCGGGGAATGGTGGTGGTGGGACCCAGTCAGCGTGGGCACGCCCGGAGTATTGGACGGGATACCTGTGCTCGTGTGATGACCTCCGGTAGTCCGCGCACGAGGGTTGGCGTGCAGGTCGGCATAATTGATGGCTGCTTCTAGCCAACATCCCCTCGATTGCTCCACCACAGGCGTGGTATGCCTGGTGAGCCCTGTCTGAAGCGGACCGGGCACGTCGTCCTCAAGCGCGTCAGTCATAGTCGCAGCGTCTTGGAAGCTTGGCCAGGTTGATGGCTGGTGGCTTTAACTTCAGCTGCGGGAAACTGCGAGGACGATGATGGTCGTTGCTGGCAGGACGTGCAGAGCATTGAGGCTGGTCGACAGTCGCCTTCGGACATCGGGGAGGGTGAAGGTTCCGCAACCAGGAGGTGAATAGCGGGCGTGACAATGCCCATAGTCGTTGTAGCCACCAGGGTGTTCGGTGATGCTGTCGTCATAGAACCTGACGTGTCAGTTGTGTTGTGAGCCATGGAGGTCGGCCGAGACGAGCCGGTGGTAAGCATGCCTGCAGCGTCGTCGGCCGAGGACGATGAAAACACAAACCTCGTGGCTGACTGGTTGCATTCAGCCCAAATGTCGAGAACCTTCGGACTCATTTATCGGACGTTGTTGAAGGCGAAAGCTTCGAGGTTGGGAAGTCGAAAACGGGTGAAAGGTCACTTGTGCCAGACTCCGATGCGGGCGGCAAGGTAGTCGTCATGGAGTCTGGTGGGGCCACGGTTGGTAGCACACATTGCGACGCAGTGACAGCCCCAAAGTCGCGGTTCCCTGGAAGCGGTCGATACGTGAGGCCGTTGCGGGCGAGCACCGCAGTGCAGAAGGCATCGTAAGGCTGCGGGCTGGTGCTTCAAGTGGCAGCGAGATGGCGCAACTCTACCGGAAGTGCGTCGAGAGGAATGGGGTGCATCAGCAGCTGGTCCGTAATGCCATTCACCGCAAGAACGGCGTCGAGCGGCATAAACTATACCTTGGGGTAAGTCGATTGGAACGGTGGCACTGGCGGGCAGAGTCGCGGAAACATGGCAGCCGATGGCGCGTCGAATGGCGCGTTCTCCGGGTCACCAATGTAGCGAGGGAGGAAGACGGGACGGCGGCCAACGTGGTCGTGTCGTCCTCTTGCCACTTTAGTCCACGCCTGAAGCGGAGCCGCGTGGCTTTCCACGTCCGACACACCAAGTGCGCTAGCTTGTTCTAATCCTCGCGCAGCTCGAGCTAGCATCAGCTGCGCGAAAGGCGCGGCGCGGTGATTGAGAAATTATGATGGTGATCATGGCACTACAACACATTCAATGCATCTTCGTTTGCTCAAGGTTACGGCTTAAGTGAGAATTTTCGGGACTTCGCTTTTCTTCAAGCAAGCTTTTGCTTCTCCTCGCAAGCTGCAGCTGCACTTCGGCTTTAGCTTTCAGCACAAAGTGCAAACACCACGCTAGTTCTGGTTTCTCCAGACCCACGGTGACCTCAAAAGTCGCCCTGTTACCTCCTTGCTTCCCTGGAAAGCCTTGACTGGAGTCGAGTTCAAAATGACGTTGCTTTGCTCGTGCGTTTTCTTTGCGCGAACTGGTCTGGGAACCCTTGTGCACGTTTCCTGACAGGAAACAAACCCGTCTTGACGACACAGCCTTGCTCAGAATGTGTCGAAATATTTTCGTGCAGTTCACAAGAACCGAAAGGCTTCAATACTGATGACAGCCATAACAGTGGTACAATACTGCGCTGGCGCACAGGAAACCCAGCTGCGAGTCTTATTTTGTCCTAAGTGTTTTTCCTTCACTTGTTTTTTTATTTCTAGCTATAGTGATTACGGACACCAGCGGTGGAAAACTACAACACACGGGACCTGTGTTGTGAATTTTGTGACACCTTTCGCTGTAAAAACAAGAATTGCACAAGATAAACCATAGAAATGTTCTTCAACAATAATGGTGCGTCTCGGGGAACGCAGCTGCATTGCTACTTTGTGTTTAACGGCCGATGTTTCCTATTTACGGAAGCGCAGGACTTTCTCTTTGTGCTGGTAGACGAAAAGATTGGCAGATCACATATACTACGGGAATTATTAATATGTGAAGCGCGAATGACCAACTTTGATATGTCACTTTAAAACCAGCACAGCGTTACAAGGCGCACGTAAATAAGGCTGTATATGACTTCCATGACATGATTATTGTGTTTAGATGTGTCATTAACCTTTGTCATCTATTTACGTCACGTAATATCAAATTAGTACCACGTGGCGTCATATGTGGAGGTAGCAAAACGGCTGCGAGAACGCGATCAGCA